GCGTATTGCATACGCACGCAACGCTGGGGATTTTGCGTTGCTGGCTAGCGGGCCTTGCGGGGCGCTCTCTCGAGATCTCGGACCCAACGAGAGTGCCAGTTTCAAGATGGCGGTTGCCTCGACTGGCGCAGGAAGGGCAAGGGCGACGTGGTGTTTCCGAAGTTCTGGTTTACGTGAAATTGCGTGGTGTTCAGCTCGGCGATTCTTTCTGGGACCTACCGCGGTCGAATCAGATCGCCGTGCAGCTGAAGGAGTGCACAGTGAAAATATTCGCCGCTCGGAATGTGCGCCGACGCTGCGATCTGCTCAACGCTAAGCCTATTCCCACAGTTCATCGCCCACGGACATCGCTGTGCACTGGACATCAGGGTCATGAGTTTCATTCCGCGCTAGCATTGATAAAAGGTGCCGTTTCCACGGGACGAGTGACGGAGGCTCCGTGATCGAATTTGGCTATGCACTCGTACTCGTAGCCTCTGTACCCCGCAGAAAAGTGCGCTTGACGAGGCAGCTGTGGCTTGGTTTAATTTGAAATAGAATGATTGGACACGTCTTCATTTTCAATATTCCTTTCCAGGAGCATGGTTGAGCTATAAGCACGCGGAATTCTACGGCTCTAGCAAATTTAACCAAGATCATGCGCGGTGTTCACTCGAAAACGTAACGCAATTCGTAATTTTTTCGTAATAGAGTAAAAAAAAACGTAATTCGGTCCGAGCAGATCATTTTTAGCGTACGCTATACTATTGCGTATTGCGTACGTAAGGTCCAGCAACGCTATACTAAAACTGTCTATTGAGTAAAAAATAACGCAAAATGTCTGACGAGACTTTCGAGAGTCAGCTGTTGCTCAAAATACTGAAGGTCATTAAATGGAACAGGTTGCAACAATAAAAACTTGAATAACCCTCTTCCCTTTGTTTCTTAATTGAAGACAGTATAATGCTGAAAGTAATGCCACGAAAGTAACGGATTACTTTTTGGGGTAACGGTCACTTACTTTTATCGAAAGGTAATTGTAATTGTAAAAAAGTACAATTTAGCCTCGAGTAATTGTAAATTTAATTTCTTACTATTTTTCAGTAACGTGTACAAGTCTGGTCACTACTGCGCCTCTCTGGAAGTTCACGTGACATTGAATGGCTCGCGGCGTTCGCTGCAGTCCATCTAGGGGCGGATTTAGAGGGATTGTGGGGGGGGGGGGGGGGGGGGGGGTCCGGATGGTCCTGGCCCCCCTCTTGATTTCTGCATGTGAAAAAATTTAGGGCGTGGACACGCGGGAGGGGGGGGGGGGGAGTTATAAACATATGGTACGCTGACCAACACCTGAACCCCCCCCCCCCCCCCCCTCCCCTCTGGAAGTTCCTGCATCCGCCCCTGAGTCCATCGTAGGGTAAAAGGGAGCATTCACGAAGCAGCAAGTGTCTTTCGAAGTTTCCCTTCTATCCTACGCTGGTTCCCGAAACGGGGAGATTATTTGGTCCTAACGCCGGCGCCTGGGGCACGCGACGACACGGTCCGTCTGGCGAAGTCAAAGAAGGCCCTGGCCGTAGTACACTACGCAAGACTTACGTTTCGTCAATTTCGAGATTTCAAAATAATCAGGAAAAATTATTCCCTTGAATGAGCCACCCCCAAGGTAACGACTACACCACGGATCATGAAACTTTCTGCCAACGAAATAATTCCGAGACTGGTTGAATTCCGAGGTTCACGTGCAGCACCGCAATCTCAGCATAGCACGTCGTAGTTCGTATAATCGCAAGCTGTAGCTCGGAAATAAATTTTAAAAAATCGCGTCGCTTTTGTAACCCCCCTTCCCCCCCCCCCCCCCCCCCCTTTACCCTATACTCGTGAGAAAAAAAAAATCATTCTAAAGCTATGCGTTCCTACCCCTTCCATGGCGCGGTCCGTGGACGCAACACATGAAATCATGCTTCATCGATCGCTGCTTGTTAGTTGATCTTTTCCTAACTCTGCAGTCTAGAATGCGCGATCGCGCAGCTTTTTTTAGGAACACCTCCTGTTATGATTATAATGCAATTAAATGCAAAGGTGCAAGCGAGCTGGACAAGAATGACGAATATAATCCTTGGAGAAGGGGAACAAGAGGGCGAAAGGACAAACACAAATTGGAGATTTGTGTTTGTCCTTTGTCCCTCTTGTTCCCCTCCTCCGGGGATTATATTCGTCACCTTGTGGACACCCTGGCATTTCCCCAGCTCAGTTGCCCGACTGCGGGACACAGATGGTGAACTTTTCCTTGAGCGCCGCATCTAAGAGCGCCCTTTTGTGGGCGCTGATCGGTCGAGCGTTGCACCTCCGAGGCGGCGCATCACCAGTTTCAATGCGGTGCAGCAGGATGTCAGTCTTTCGAGGTGTTTCCGTGAACATCGGTGAGAAAGACTGCAGGACCCGGAGGAATAACACGGAGCCAATGGTTTCAACAACAAGAAACTACATCTAATTGGACATGAACGAGACGATCAACATTGTTACCAGCGGCGCATGAGTCCAGGCAGCGACTCGCCGCCACGCGGGAAAAGTTCACCACCTGTGCCCCGCAGTCGGGCAACTGGGCTAAGGAGCCGCCAGGGTGCCCACAACCTCTTGTTGCTTAAAGGGACCTTATTGTTGCTCAGAGTTAGGACAATGGGCGGAGCAAAGGCCGCCGCCAGCGCCGAAAACGCCCCCCGCGGTTGTAAACTAGAGGTACGACACAGCGTCGACCAATCAGGAGACCGCGACGTCACAATATTGCAAACGTCATTTAAAGGGATACTTCAACGAAATTTGAAATATTCCCTTCGTGTTCAAAAATAGGTTGAATATGATTCACAATATTCGTAAATGACAATCGCACGTTTGTATTTTGATCCTGGTGGCTGTATTTTTCGTTATAAACGGCCCACTCTGGCAAGCGCTCAGAGAAGGCCCAGCTTAGAGCACGTGACATCCAACGCAATCGTGACGTAGGTCGTCTCAAGACGAGCAAAGCTACGGCGAGGCTGACGTCGAGAGGATGGCCTAGTCGTTCCAGCCACCGAAGCGGCTGCTTTTGTACGAATTTTGAGTGACGGGTTAATCTTCTATAATCTTCTAGAGGGACAATAGCGACTTCTGCGACACACAAAAGGTATTCTCGGGTAGAGGGGAGTTCCTCCTTTCCCCCTTCTCTCGTCGTGGCCGGAGACGAGACAACCTCCGTCACTAGCTGTCAAGGTTCCTAGACGAGCATTACAAACGAGGCGTTAGCGACATCCACCAGGTGCTCTGTGCTAATCGTTTAATTTGTTTTAAAATTCATTTTCGCGACATTTTTAACAAGATATTGGTATGTTCTCTTTTAAACACATATAGACTAAAAAATAAGCGTCGAAATTTCGTTGTAGTATCCCTTTAAAGCGTCAAATTAAAGCGTTCAATCTCGGCCACGGTGTTCTTGGCCTCTCTACTTCATCTCACAAATGTCTGCAGTAAAGACAAAGGCACAGGCGCGTGAGCCTAGCTCAGCGAAAGGCTTTACGAGAACTCCTGCATAAGGGGCACTTTCCAAAGTCGCGGGCTCGTGCTCATGCCTTTGTCTTCACTGCTGATGTTTGTGCAGATGGAATATCGGTGACAATTTGCTTTGGGCCGGCTTGCTAGATCAGTGTCTAAGCTGAGACTGGCTGAAAGAAAACAGTGCAAAGGGTCGGTCGCGCGAGCGTCTTGAGAGCCGAAGTCCCTCTCGGCTCGTGCGCTGGCTTTGGCAGTGCTTTCTTTCCCCGTCTCAGCTGAGACGCTGTTTCTAGCAAGTCGGCCTTGGTTTGGAGCGCACGTTCGTTTATTCTACACTTGAATATTGGCTGACGAAAACCTCAGGTGCGCAAAGTTTTCAGTCACCGAGAGCTGAACCTTTTCACTCCAGCGACGCTAAAACGGCTTAAATTAGTCGTGTCACACATTTAGAGCTCATGATCACCGCTAGGGGCTGTTTCGCGGCCTGTAGTTGGCCCGAGATGCTCGCCTATTCCAACCAATGTATGGCTAAACTCTCTCAATTAACGACTCTGTTGTTGCCCAAACGCTCTCAACTTTTTTTTTTGCCAGTTTTTTGTTGCTTGCGTGCTTTGTTAAAAGTAAGAGCTGATTTCAACCACGTTCGTAGAAAGCATGCACATGGGATTCACATGAATGCTGGCACCACACTGGTGGTCATTCCCACTTGTTATTGCCGAAAAAAAAAAATCAGTAGCAAGGAATGTACGCTGCACAAGCTACGAGCTCAACAGTAATGCCACCTCAATGGCAGCTGACGTATGTCAGCGCAATGCACTTTTTTTTCCACAATATTTCTACAACAGAGAATAGACTAGTACATTTGAGCGCTCAATTTCACGAATGAGTAAAAAATATATACATCGTTTTTTTATAAATTAGCTTTTTTTTGTGGCACCATCTTCCAGTTTCTTTTTTCCACACAAACGTAATCGTCGAAATTTTTGTTTATTATACTGTGACAATACCCCACCGAGTCTGAGCGCTTCCGACGCTGGCATATCCGATATAAAGTCAAGTCAAGCCGCGCCAAAAATTGCATCATCACGGCGTTCGTGGTCTTTCGTGCGTTCGTCATCAGCTGGCAAAAGCAATCGTGCAAAAAAAAATGTGCAGAACCACGGCAAATTTACAGTGACCTGATCGCTTTAGTTGATGATAGCGAACGTGCAAAGACGACGAACGTCGTGACGACGCACATTTGGAGCGACGTGATTGGCTCGTGGACTCGGCTCAGAAACGTCGGCTATGCGGAGCGCAAGTTCGTCTGCTTCTTTTGCAAAGGTTTTGGTGACGTCAGAACGCCGAGCACTGATTGGTTCTGAATGAAGGATAGTGGGTAGACCTCAAAGCAAGTTGCCTTGAGGTCTACCCACTATCCTTCCATGTCAGAGCCAATCACAGCTCGGCGTTCTGACGTCACCAAAACCTTTGCAAAAGAAGCAGACAAACTTGCGCTCCGCATAGCTGGCGCAAAAAGACCCCAATTATTGAGAAAAACAAACAAAAAACTCTACGTATAAAAAACGAGGCGGCCGACTATGATGCCGACAGTGCAGCCGCGTAGGACCCCCTAAAGCGCCGTGTCTCTTCAGCGGTCAGTTCATTGTCGATGGCCGTTTGCATGATGTCCTGAACCATGCTCGCGAGGTCCGCCACGTCGTTCGGACCCATTCCTTCCGTGTTCACTTCTGGTAGGGCAGTGATACGGACGTGACCTCGAAAAAAGGAAAAGTAAAAGGCAAGTATTTACTAGTACTTGGAGCCAACTTCAGAGAAACGTAAGTACGCGCACTATATACGCTGTGAGTTTGAACAGTATTCGTGTCTCAAATGCGCATACTGTGCTCCCTTGAAGACGAATAGACCAAAAAGTAAGCGAAATTCTAGAGCTCATTTCTTTGCCTCAAGACGACGCCGGTAGCAGAAGCTCAGAAACCTCGATATTTCGTTGGAAAGCGCGAGGAAACATATTTTAAAGTGAATTTACCGATAGTCAAGAACCACCTGTTCGTTGGTTATGAAGCTTCAATGGAATGTCGTGACAACATTCTTTAAAGAGCAGCGTCATAGCGCTAAGTACGCTCCCTGTGCTTAGGCCTGAACGCAATACCGAGGCGCCTTGATGGAAAGAGACAAAACTAAGTTGGTCACCGCGTGGTTTAACCGCGCGACGCGCAAACGCGCACGCACGGCTCGTCGTCGCTTTGGTTGTTCCGCGGCTTCTTCCGCGTGTCTTCGTCGTGGAACCTTTTCCCATCCACCCATCATTTTTACACAGAGTGACAACGCTGACAATAGACTCGGCTGTATGCGGTGTCGCATGCACAAGCTCCGCCACGAGGCCGCTCCTCCAGCTTCGTTCGTCACACTGTACTCCTGTCGTTTGCTATCGCACGGTCCGCCATGTTCTTCCTAACTAGCCCTCCATGGCTGTGTTCAAAATCTGCCGAGTTACTCCGGCGGGTCATGTCACGTGACAATCCAAATAGAACGCTGGACGCGGCAAGGTTTCCGAACGCCAAAATACCAAGCCGTAACTCGAGAGTGAGGTCAAGTAACTGGAAACGGAACGCGGGCACGGACAAATGGGAAAGCGCTGTCTCTACTTATCAGAGCGTTTATCGAGGGTCTTTAGTGGCTAAATTGAGAACTGCACCGATGGTGACCATCGGTGCAGTTGTCAATTTAACCGCTAGGGGCGCGACAGTTGGATCTTCTTCCCACTAGTTGCCTTGGCGCCGCGCGTGTGTGCAACTTTTTAACCGTCCTCATGCAGTGATGTCCCTCGGGTGATGCGGGTTAACACGAATGAATAAGTAAACGAATCAAAACAGCTGTAGCTATACAGTTAATAGACACGTTGCAACACGTGCAGTGCCTTACGCGTCGCCGAAATGAATTTTGGAAACACGCTGTTTACACCCGGCTGTAACAGGGCTGTAGCAGACCGGGAGTTGCTTAGGCGTTGCCATCTTTGTCTCTCTCGCCTTCTTTTGCATCAAGAGGTGGAGATCCCGGAGCTAAGTTCGTTTCTGGTTGGAAAGCGGAGGGGGGGAGGGGGGGTGCTAACGGTAAGCATTTTATGACAGTTGTTCTTGACAACGGATAAGTGTAAACTTCTGGACATGCGCCATGAACAACGAGCGCAACTGTATACCATGGATGATTGGCAGAGTCGACTCCTAAAAAGTTACGTACCAAAGTGGCTTTTCTCCATTTTGCGAGCAGGGTTTCTCGAGTGTATTTATCTAAGAGCTTGCGCATTGCCTAAATTTGGTCTCTGTGAACAACATTCCGTGTGTTTTTATTTTACTCTATGTTGTCCGCCTCGCAATAATGCCTATAAATAAAAATAAATGTATTTATCTTCCTTACCTGCATTAAACTTCTTCTCTTTCGTGCTGAAGAAGCTCGAATAGCGCGAAATTACCAGGGGAACAATGGGAACCTGAAAAAAAAAAAAAAAAAAAAAAAAAACTAGAAAATTAGCAACTCGGAGCCTGATGTGAGCGAATTGCGCACACCCCTCGTACATATATACGGTCTGTCACAGGACGATATGTATAATTGCACGCTATGTACTGGTCGGGAAAAGCACAACAGGAAGAGATCAATTGTTTCCAATACGTTCATATGATTAGTTTTTTTAAATCTTGGGTCTCGATATTACATGGGATTTTACAATCCCTTTGCTTTCCAACTGAAAGCATGCGTCCACAACTGAGGGAGGGGACAGGGTATAGAGGCAGCTTGGGACCACATCCGTCCCCACCGAACCGAAGTTCCCATTTCGGAGCTAACGATTACCTTTGTTGGTTTCAGAGTCCGAAAACGTTTAGCCAGAAAGTTGATAACGTTATTGTTCTTTACAAAGAAAAAAATATTCTTATTGCATCCCATCCCATCCAACCCAAAACCGGTTAGTAGCAAGTCGGTAAGTGGGACTATTTTGGAATCGTTACCCTTCCGTTGCCCAAACGTGTGCGCTGAATTCATCATATTATAGTTCGTCTCATCCTACGATGGACTAAAGGCCAAAGCCACGGGCCGACGGGTCCAGTCACGTTCCAAGCTAAACTATGACACGCTTAGCATTGATTAGGTTTAGACGAATAATGCTCCCAATCCAAAAAAGCTGCGTCATTTTTATAGCTTCGACACTGCAAGGAGCCAGTACGACGTCGTGGCTTTCTTTGCAATGTAAAAATGTCGAGTCACTCATGGCTCGATCCGAACCACTGTCCGCCCATTCCCATCAGTGATTCGAGGCGCCGGCACCGATACGTTCATCGAAGCGAAATACCCACGCAATGTCTAAGTGGCTCGTGATTGGATCTGGCGGTTAGTATATAGCTTCTGCCTTTAGTCCATCGTAGGGTGAGACGAAGTATAGGTGACAATGTTTAATTATTTAAGAGTAGTGTTTTAAATGTATTCTCGTCCTTCCCTCTGGGTATTTAGGTCGACCATTTTATTAATTTCTGAGTAATTATAATACTAGAAAACTTTTTTTTTTTTCAAGATTACAGGTTATTTTTGCTTTTAGATAGCCGAGTATTCTTCTCCTACACACGATGACGAGGCGCGGCCATGCGGCAATACCGCACCGGGAGGACATGTGGTCGGCTCTGACAGCTCGCATTGGGTCGCACGAGCCGTAGCTTTTGTCGTCTGCGAAGTTACGTGGAACGGAGTATACGGTAAACAACTTGGTTTTCATAAAGACGTACGTTTCGCCAATTTCTTGATATGAAAATAATTACAAACAGTTTGTCCCGCGAATAACTCACCCCATGATACACCTACACCACCACGAAACCTACACCACGGACCATGAAAATTTGTGCCGGCGAAATAATTCCGGAACTTGTTGATTTCCGTGTAGGATATGCGGCACGGCAATCTAAACACAGCTCGTCGAAGTTCGTTTAATCGCAAACTATAACTTGGAAATCAATAAATGAAAAAAAATTTGCATAGCTTTCCTAACTCTCCTGACGCCCGCCCCCCCCCCCCCCCCCCCCCCCCCCTCGACGAAAATTCTGGGTGCGGGACGACCTACTTAGAGGGGCGTGGTGAAAAACGAGCACCCGTTCGTTTTTCATCACACGCAATCGGAGACGCAGGAATAACTAAAGGAAGACGAGCAGCGTTCACCTCCTCAACTCGCAGCCAGAACAAGCGACCACGCGATCTGAAGAGGATTACATGCCGCCAATGTTGATCATAGCCACGCGCTGGGGTTGGCAAGGCACAGGACACGCGCTGAGTTCCAGACATTGTTATGGTTCGGCTATTGTCAAGTGTTGTTCCCGTTACCGAAAATAAGTAACGAAATAGCGTTACTCGTTAGCTTGGAAAAAAGCTAACGCGTGAAAAGCTCCGTTACAATTTTGCGAATGTGGCGAAATACCGGTGTCGTTACTTGCCATGATTAAAGGACGTTACTTTTACGTTAGTTTGTCTTTACTTTGTGTTTACCTGTTAGTATATGGCTACGTTTACATGGATGCGACTGCAGCGCATCGGATCCAGTTAAACGAATCGAATCGGTCCATGTAAACAACTCGGATCGGATCGGATCCGATCCGATCCGATCCCCTGGTTTGAGATGGTCAATCCGAATCGAGACTCTCCATGTATACGCTAGCGGATCGAATCGAGTGCTCGAGCGAGGGATTACGGGAGCTTTGCTTCGCCTGCCGCTAGGCAAACCGGACACCTCGAAAACAATCTGAAGGTCACGAGATTTGCGTTGTGATCCTTCGACACGAGGTGCCGCTGCTGGTCGATCCGAATCCATGTAAACTCAGTGGTTGAAGTGGATCCGATTCGCTAACTGGATCCGATGCGCTGCTGTCGCATCCATGTAAACGTAGCAGCTGTTAGTATATGACTGTAGAGTCTCAACCACAGACGTCTCTATAAGATTGTCGAACACTTCTTGAGAAACGGGAGTTTGATGCATACGGTCGATCTTCCTCTGCTTCAGCAAGGGTGTGTTGGGAAAGTGGGTTGTATACATACGGTCTTTCATTTCTTTGAAATTACTGCGAACTCTGACAGCTTCTGCGAATGGAGGGACTGGCGAAAAATAAAAAAAACAAACAAAAACAATTAGGACTGATGCGAAGCACCGCTGTAAATTTCTAGTTTGCAGTCGTGTGGAACAACCAAATATTAACTAAACAAACTGCATCACGAATTAGTATAGAAAAGCTGTCTAAATAAACCGCAACCTTAAACATATATCACATAGGCGTGTTAACTTCCATGATTGATTTACCCTCCTTCTGAATTATACAAGTAAACTAAACTAAGCCGTTTTCGAAGACTTTTTCGCTAGCTTATACATTAATGAGCATTGTGAGATGTAGCTGAAAAACTGCGACTAACAAAACGATCGCGAAAGAAAGGTGCGTTCTTTTGCCTAAGAAAGCTTAACGACAACATTTTAACGGGAAAAAAAAATGATCGCATCTCCACGCAATGAATGATGTTGATTGGGGCAAAGCGATAATCTGACGTCTTTTGGTCCCGGTTGTGAGAACGTTGAAAGTGTCTTCTGAAGGAGTTTGAAATGACGTCGTTTATACATAGCTTTGTTGTTGTTTCTTTGCCACTTTTTGTAGTGCGCAGAATAAAAATTGATTTGCTTTCAAACTATCATGCTGCCATTTTTTTAAGTAATCAGTAATGGGTAACGTAATTTGACAGCAGACACCGTAAAATAATGACAACATTACTTTACTCGTTACTCATTTGGGATTCTAACGAGTAGGTTAGTACGTTACTAAAAAAACTAACGCGTTACCAGTAACGTCGTTACTTGGAACGCGTTAGTTCCAACACTGCTATTGTCGTCATTGCAGCGATTAGACACGGGAAACTACGCGAATGCTTCTCGAGCTATCAATTTTCACGAGCCCAAATCGAATGCCCACGCAATGTTCGGGTCCAATCTGTGAGCCACATTCAAATATCGTCGCTGGGTGGTACTGCGACCGCCCAGCTACGTCATCAAGTTTTGCGAAGGAGTGACAATAAAAACGCTCGCCTTTGTACCTTTAAATTACATTACACCTCAACAAAGGAGTTTCTTGGCCAGTGGCGTGCGAGTATCCTTGAGTCCCATTAGCGCCAGTAAGCTCGTGTAAAGTGAAAAACATTCCAATTGAGTATCGTTGCACCGTCCCTTTAAAACTCCCTAATCTACGAATTTGCTACATAGTTAAGTATATGCAGGGTATATTTTGTAACCCACCTGGCACTGCACAGCCATATGGAAGGCACCCTTCTTGAAAGGCAGCAGCTTGGGCTCTTCATTTCGCGTTCCCTCGGCAAATATCAGGATGCTTGTCTGCGGGCGAAACACGAAAAAGTAATTCCACACCATTATTTTCAAAAATCAACCACACGAGGGTGCTTGCTTTACAAAAATATCGCGGATATATATATATATATATATATATATATTTTTAATTATAGGTAATATTTTAGGTTTGCGTGAAAAAAAAATATGGCCTTAAAAAAGAAAAGTGAAATAACTTTTATATGTTTCGAATTACGCGCGGTTTTCGGTTGATTTTTCGTACGTTAGTTCGACCCTTTCGTACGTTGGTTCGACCCTTCCGGCCGTGTTGGTAAACAGAGCCGCTCCGCGTGTCAGGCTATACACTTTTCAGAAAAAAAAAAAATGCTCCTAGGCCGCCGCCATGTTGCTGATGCTGATGCGGCTGGTGCGACTCTCGCGCCCCCTATCAACTAGGAATTTTCTGCCACCCTCTTGGACTGTGGCACTGTTGTAGGCGTTAACGAAAAAAGTAACGAAATACGTTACTTGCAAATAAAAGTAAGGCGTTACCGTCCTGCGTTACTTCAAAACAAAAGTAACGCGTTACCGTTACCGATAAAAGGTAACGCACGTTACTTTTGTGTTTTTTTAAAAATTATGAATTAACTCGTTTTACTGTTTTGACGTTACAGTTTTGCATAAGCGCCATATTTCAAGAAATATTATGTTTATGCAGAAGCTAAATATAATTACTTTATCTTTGTTACGGTTTCAACTAAAGGCTCACAGGAAAAATAAAGAGCTTAGGAAACCGAAAAAAATCAAAAGAATTACGTAACTTGGCGCCTGAAAGACAAAAAAAAAATGACGTGTAATTTGTTTAAGTCCTGGGAAGAAAAAGTAACGAGTAACGTAACTCCATTACCCGTTACTCGAAATAAGTAACGCAAGTACGTTACCCGTTACTCTTTTGAAAAAGTAACGAGTACGTCACACCGTACACGTTACCGTTGGTTTGCATAACGCATTCTGAGCATTGCTCTCTTCTGCGGAATATGGGACGCCGCGTTCACAGCCAAGTGACTCAGCATTTCTCGTCTGAGCGATAAGCTCTGGAATGATGTGGCAGCCCTGGATGGATACTCCAGGCATAGATCGGTCTAACCTTCCCGCTGCGGACGTCCTCCAGTCTTCGGTTGAGGGTCTCCCTGGCCCTCTCGGAGTTTTCCCTGTCGACGAAGACGCAGCCGGAGACGAAGGCGAACAGGCCCATGGGCCCCGCGAACAGGAGCTCCTTCTTCATGGACGGCACGCACGGACTGACCGCCTCCCAGTTGGTCACCAGGCCTAGAAGGGCAAAGGGCCGCCACAATGCCCGGTTTCGGTTCATCCAATGCCGCCTAAGGCCTGCCCATGACGTCATCGTCAATGGATCCCCGACCGGCCCCAAACGGCATACACGCGGAAGCTCGACGATAGTCACCGCAAAGCGGCAGACGCGTCCGTCTTGGCGTCGCCGCGTTTTAGCATAGCGCTCGTTGTGAGTCCTCGCAGGACACACTGGCGGCAACGTTGACGCAAGAAGGCCCTGCGTGGATCCACTACTAATAGAGTAAAGGGCGATTCACACACTTGCGTCGAGTCCCACTGAGTGCAACTGCAACGGCTTGCGACGTAAGGGTTGCTATGGCGACACTTACGACGAGCCAATGGGGAGGCGCGGTGCTGAACGACGCTACGCAGCGCAGCGCGGTCGACGCAAATGTGCTCCACTAGTGATGACATTGGGGGGGCAGGGGTCAGGTTTTGCCTTTTAGGTGAGATTGGCTCATCCAAGTTGTAAGAGTTCCGTTATTGTTTATATTGTTGTTACACTTTATTAAGGTAAGGATGGCGCGACAGTCTGGAGGGGACGGTTTACAGGGGGGGGGGGGGGGGGGGGGGGGGAATAAAGAAAACGAAAATTAAGGTTATATCTTTCGGTCAATGCCTGTCGCGCGCGCAAAGTCCCAGAGGGACAGCAGCGTCTCTTTCGCACAGGCACTACTCTTGGGGTTAATCCAGTCCTCGTAGGCACGGACATTGGGGTCTAGAAAACAACTCCGTTCAGTTTGGAGCCCCGCACACTCCCACAGTAGATGTCGGACCGTATAGGGGAACGCCTGTAGAACATGTAGAGCAGGTCACCGCCGGGCTGGGAGCCTCGGTTGACTGCGCTGACTCGGAGTGGGAACTCGTGTGTGAGGTGGATGTATCGCCTGAGTATTCTGTAGCAGGCGGGCGCCCTCTCTTGGGGGTGTAGGTTCTCCATCGGGCCAGGACGTCTTCATTAAGAGCCGCCCCGGTGCGTGCTTTATGAATGAGCACTTGTGCACCTCTAGGCGGACCTCTCGGCAGGGGTGAAGGGTTGGCTGGGGTCTGCTCCTTGAGACTAAGGCGATCCGCCTTCTTGGCTGCGGCCTTTTTTTCGCAGGGATCGGGGTCGAGTAGTGCAGGTGGAACCGAAATATCCGGGTCGGAGCGGATGCTTGACTGCGCGCTCGCACACGCATGAGCAGCCTCGTTGCCTCGGCCGCCCGCGTGTCCCGGTACCCAATCCACCCGTACCTCTATGTTGTGGGTGGAGAGCAGTTCAGCGCATAAGGTCTTAATGCGCTGGCAGAGGGAGCCCTGACGGGGTGTGAGCCCAAGCCTAGTGACGGCCTCTCTGCTTTCCGTATAAACCAGAACCCGGATGGGTTCAGGGGGGCTAGCTTGAGGTCTGTTGGCCTTCAGATGGGCTAGTGCCAGATGAATGGCGTCTAGTTCAAGGCGACAGGTGCTGGGGTCTTGTGAGTAGTGGTATGTCTCGGCATGCGCGTCAGTGCCGGTGACCCAGACAAGGGTGGCTCGTTGGGTGGCTTCACGCCAGGCAATGTCGGTAAAGATGGCTATTGGTGTTCTATCCTTGCGGTCGGCTAGGGATGCTCTTTCCTCTCGATGCTCTTCCCGGCTCGTTCTTCGGGTGAGAGGCTTGGGGAGACGCACCATGAAGTCTTCCCATGGAGGGACACTCTTGAGGATTGTGTCTCGCGGCCTCCGTGGAGAACGGCGAGGTACTTGGTGTTGGTGAGTCAGGAGCAGCTGTCCAGCCACAGAGGATAACCGTCGGCGGAGGTGGCCCGCGTTGCGATTGTCAATTATCGCTTGGATGGGAGGAAGGTCGGCATAGCGGTGCAGATCTTCCGTCCGAGCGTGACGGGGGAGGCCCGTAATGGCACGGAGGCACGCGCGATGGAGTACTTCAAATTGAGAGATTTGCGCTTTTGTGAGGTCAAGACAAGCAGCTCCGTAGCAGGCCTTGCATGTCAGTACTGCCTGTGTGAGGATACGAATAGTGAGGGTACCTGCTCCCCCGAAACGCGTGGCGATGCGTCGGATGAGATGGAGGTGCTGTTTCCACGAAGCCTGAAGTTGGCTGAGCCATTCCCCGACGCCTCCCTCTTCATGAATGGGAACTCCGAGAATGCGAATCCAGCGCTCCTCTGGTCGGTGGATGGGTTTCCCTGCGAGGGTCAGACTGACTTGCGCCCGGAGTTGAGGAAGGCCGCCAATCAGTAGGACCGCAGTCTTCTCTGGTGATGGCTTCATTCCTGTAGCAGGTAACCACCGGTCGAGGGTGTCGAGAGCCTTTTGTACTGTGGCTATGGTGGTGTGAGTATCGCGTGGTGCATCGCGGGGATTGACCCAGAGAGTTATATCATCCGCGTACATCGTAAGCTGCAAGTGCTATATATATTTTGCATTCGTGATGTTGAGACCTTCCCTGTCGCCATCTTTGTCTGCTGGGCTGTGGAACGCCTTCTGAGCATCCGCTATTGCTCTCTTCTGCAGTATATCAGACGCTGCTCATGCGTCCACAGCTCGGTGACTCTGCATTTTAACCTGGGTGTTAAGCGCTGAGGTCTATAGTCTGCAGAAGCAAATATCGTTTGGAAGAAAGGAAGATCTATTGGTGTGGTCCTTAGGAAATGTGTTACCATGACCCTTGGGAAACGCAACAGCAGCATCCGCTGCTTGGCGCTGCTCTCGCTGTTCACCAATTTTGGCGGCCCGCCTCCTTCGTTCACAATCCGTCATCTTCTGCCGCCTACTTGGACCAGCGCTAGAACTTGGTTCACAGTCCATTTTATAGAACGAAGCAAGGCATACGCGCTCCGCACACCTGCGAGTTCAGACCCGTCCCAGCATCCGCGCGCGCATCGGCTTCCACCCCGTGACGTGGCCTCCCTCTCGCCTTTGCCCTTCACTACTCTCCTCCACTCTACCAAACTCTAGGCGGCGCGCTTCCCTTTTCACTGCTTTGTCCACATACTGACCCCGTCAGCTTTTCCCTGTCATGTGGGTACAAATGCTAACGCATTTATAGATGTGTTCCTTGTATAGTCCGCTCATTCTCATACACAGCGCACTTGAGAAATGCCTGCTTTACTAGATCACAAAGGAGTTTGTATCTCACTTAAATCAACATCAACACACTGTGCTATGTACAAAATCCGTCCCGTCCGCGCTGCTGCTGGCATGCGCAGACGTATAGCGCATCATCTCACCTGAATCTGGTTTAACGCGCGGCGCTCACACCTGCTGTGGGAAAACGCGGGCTGGTTTCTAAACATCGCGTTAGTGTGTACATCGCTGGCGCGTGACGTCATGTGGCACCGTAGCAGCCACCATTGCTCCGTACCCTATGCTCCTGTGCCCGTACCTTCTGCAGCGTATACATTTGACACCATTTAATATGAGGCTTCTAGCCTTGCCGCGGGAAGAACAAATTCGATGGTGCGAAATGTATGCTGCAGAAGTTACGGGCATAGGAGCAATGGGACTCAGAAATACTACCTGATGTGACGTCGATGCAGGCCATGTATAAGGAGTATTCACTGGGCGCCATATTTGTGGGTGCTGTCTAGAGCGCATGCTCAGAACGAGCCCCCATTAATAGGCTCCTAAGACCGGCCATTTTGACGGTGTGGAATGCACGTTGCAAAAGAACCCTGGAAGCTAGCCATCAGCCCGCGCTCAGCAGTCGCGCACACAGCTATGGCCGCCAGTGAATATTTGTGACGGCTTGAAGCTGAGCTAGTTGGTTCATGATTGTTAAAGTGCCAGCTGAACGTTTTACGGACACACACACAGAGACGAACAAAAAAAAAAACCACCGGTGTGTCTGCCTTTTTTGTTCGTCTCTGTGTGTGTGTCCGTAAAACGTTCAGCTGGCACTTTAACAATAACAAACGCCAGTGAATACTTCCTATAGTCCGTAAAATACGGCAGTTTTCTTCTTCATCTGCGTTTTTTCAGGAACACTGCTATTTTAGTTATTACTGTTAATCTTTTTCAAAATCGTTACTTGAGTGAAATCAAACACAATATCACACTGGCTGCACTTGTCGCTGTAAACTTTCAACTCTACTGGACCAACTGCATGGTAACTTTAAAAATGAAAGCCGTTTACAACTCCCTGTAGCGCCGAATTAGAGCGCAGCTCTTGAGGAGGAGGAGGGTTAGGGTACTGAGAGGAACGTATACCCGTATATCCCTCCTCTCTCCTCACCTCCTCATTCTGTCTGCTACTCGTCCCTCCCAGCGGCGTCGCCGTCGCCTCACGAGGGTCACGTGACCCCACGGGGGTCATGTGACGATGACGATGAGGTCATCGTCACTGATGACGTCATCGGTATCGTCACGGATGACGTCATCAGTGACGTCACGCGTCTCAATGCACCGCGCGGTTACGCCGACGGCGACGCCGTTCAAGCCGGAAACGGGCGCCTAAGAGCTGCGCTCTAAAACGAGTTTACAAGCGAGCTCGTCGGTCTCTTTCATACGATGTTTACAAGCAGCGTGTAGGGGGGTACGCTCATTACTCTACCACGTTTCTTTCCCACATGTTGCCCAATCAGTCCAGGTTCAAGACGGAAGAGATGGATGGACTACTCACTGTGGACGTCCAGAGAACACTGATGATTGACCACGAGGATGAAGCGCCTGCCCTTCGGGATGCTCTCGGGGTTGACAAAGATGGCTTTGAAGCCGACGAGCCAGTTCAGGCGCTTCAGTATTGCCGTCAGGTATCTGAGTGGGTAAAAAAAACATACCACTTATCGCTGGAGCGTCTAGAGGCTGATTCAGGCCACTGATGTCTGTTGTAGTAGGCTGGATCGCGGATTGAGGCTTGTTTTGCTGCAGGGTCGAGTGGCACCACCGGCGGGAAAAAACATGAAAAAGTGAGATTCCTCTCATTTTTGTTATATTTTAAAAAGAAACTTCGACCAGTTTTCTAGGAATGGGGAGAAATTTTGTGTTATGATGCCAATACTTCTTAGAGTGAAGTTTCAGGGGGGGGGGGGGGGGGGGGGGTGTTAATTTTTTTATCCTCCGTTGGCTTCTTCCACGAGCAGCCAATCGGAGCCACGTCGTCATAAACACATCCAGAAAGGTTTGCTTCGATGTTTACCTTTATATTTTTACTTAAAAAGAATTGCAGATGGCGTTTGAGGCATCATTTTTGTTTCCACCAAGCGTGAGGAACGGAGTAAGCAACACATTGTGCGGCTGTGTGTCTTGATGCAGTTTGCACGGTGCACATGCCATTTTGCAGTGATTTACCTACACACTCCCTAGGGGGGTGTACAGCCGCCCCCCTCTTTGTTTTTCTGAAGGCACCCCCTTAATTCGGAACGACTCTTCTATTCCCAATGCCCCCCTAACCTCTCCCCCCCTCCCCCCCCCCCCCCCCCTAAAAATTAAGACACCCCCTAATCTCAATTCCTGGGGAAACTCCTGCCACCTAGAGCACTATATAGCTCCTTCGGAGCAGAGTAGCGCAATCTAGAACGCCGTCTCTCGGCGACTAGCGGCGAACGCCCGGGGGTTCCAACTGCGGTCAGAAATGCGAGGGGAACGTGAGAAAATCGTTGTTTCTTCAGTTTTGTGGGGATGTGCGGAATGGAAATCATTTTTGACATAATAATGAAACATTTTAGAATAATATGCGATAAGTTTTGTGCCATACACGGACGCAACTTTTTTTAAAAAATTGCCTGAGCGGTATTATGCAGCAGACGACACGGCGACGTCACACCATTCACGTGACCCGCTCCGGCCAACCCGAAAAGCCCATCTCCGCTGCGAGCAAAAATCGTCTGCTTCAAACGCCATTGCCTCGGAAATCGCCTTCTCAAAATTTGCACACGCATCCGATATTATTAAAACTTTGATAAAGTGTTTAGCGCTTTACTAACTTCACGACAGGCTAGTTTTGAAATATGTGAACTCGCCGTTAGTTCTTTAATCAGCCGTGTTATGTCGATCTCCATGTATTCTCCCATAGGGCGGGCCGCCTCCTGGAACCCTGAGTACCACGTGACTCGCGCCGAGCCGCTCTGTCGGCCATGTTGTCGGCCAAACACGGGGTTCAAAGGATTGCGCTACTCTGCTCCGTAGGAGCTATATAGTGCTCTACTGCCACCCTAGTTGTAATTCTTTTTGTTTTTATCGCTTTTACTGATAGTTCAGGTATTTAATCCCTTGAGAAAAAATAGCTGGAAGCCAATGGAGAACATCGCGAATTTATATGGATGGCAGCCGACGGCAGCGATTGTCACGCTGTTTGTGTAATTTAAGAACCTTCTCAACAGCTGCTGACAACTGCAAATTTTTTCTTACTATTCTTGCAAAACTTCATAAAAGCTTTTCCTACAAGACACTTCAAACAAGCTTCGGAAAATTTTGGGGTACGCTTAAGCTTCGCCTTAAAGAGTGGAACGCGATGGCGTTATCGGGCCCTGTTCGCAAAGCCTTTTCATATAAACCCGCCCTCGAATTCCCAATCCGTGCAAGCGTGTGTGCGTGGTCTAGTCGGTAGCGTCACGTGTCACGTGACGTCGGACGTGGCTGTGACGTCATGACCCTATCAACCCGCTAAATTAGCGGAAAACTTTGCGCTAAATTTTGTGGGAAAAATTTGGCGGAAATTTTTCCCGTTAAATTTAGCGGGTCGATAGGAGTAAGGTCACAGGTCACACGTGGCTGCGCGCGTTTGCATTATGGGATTTTTTGGTCCCACCAACGCCGACGCCGGATTTTCTGCGACACGAGCTCCTAAACGCTGTCGCGTTAAAGTTTTAATGGAATTAATTAATTAATTAATTAATTAATTAATTAAATTAGGTTAATAGGAAGTTTTCGTAGATCGTTTTCGTCGCCCCTCAACGCTCTGCGCAACCCGCTACGATACCCAAAACTCTACAGTAAAGGCCATCGGCGCGTAGGCGCAGTAGCGGCTTCTTCGTTGCGGACGGCTTAGTGGAGGGGCAAACGCGGTCTACGCATTCTCCCTAATTTTTATTCAGTTCTCCCATAGACTTGCATGTACTGCCTGGTACCAAGCAATGGCCGCCGCCGGTGGTGCCCCCCTCGGGCTCCCAATCCGCAATCCAGCCTACCACATTAGAGATCAGTGGTTGAGACACTTGCTACTTCTTATAACCGTATGCCTTAAAACCTCCCGATTTTTTTTTTATATATATAAAGACAGAACACAATGGCGCCATCTATCGGGTACCGTAGAACACTTGGCATTTCCGTACATTTCATTTCTTTTATATTTTGCGCATCATTTTTTTCTCTTTTTGTTATGATTTTTTATAATGTCATAAACGACCATTTCTCACAGTACGTACATTTGATATCGCCAAATACTTCCATTAAAA